GGGATGACCTGACAGACCCCAGTTGGTGCCCTGAGACCTCGAGAGCTGCCGAAGGAAGCCGGAAGGCCACACTGGGCCCTGCTGGCTGCCCAGACTGGAGTTTGGTCAGTGTTTGGGAACCTATATTGTGAGAAAGTTAGGACTTTGTCCACAAACTGGAATTTGAAATTTCAAAGGGGCGAGACTGAAGGGCCCTACCCCAGAGTGGAGATGGCTCTTGGCTTCTTTCCCCCACGACTTTTGTTCTCTGTCTTGATAAGTCCCTGGTTCCCTGCAGCGCTCCCTGGGTGATGGGTGGGGGAGGAGAGGCTGGAGACGGTGGGGACGTGAGCACCCAGGGGCCGTGAGGATGCCTGGTGGCCGTGGGGCAGCCGGCGTCTGGAGGATGCCTCTGAACTTGCGCGTGCACCAGGACAGCCTCCTTGGCTTCTCAGACCCCTGAGTGCTCCAGCAGTAGCGTGACGATGGGACCACTAGCCACCAGCGCGCAGAAGTCCGAGGTTCTTTCTGGGAGGGAGCAAGGAGTAGGTGAAGCCCTCACGCTCTGGAGTCAGACTGGGGTTCCAGTTACAGCCCCTCCTCTTCCATCAGGTTGGCCTTGGGCAAGAGGCTTCACCTCTTTGAGACTCAGTTGTGTCCGCTACCAAGCGGGACAGATCAGCCGAGAAGAGTGGAAGGGTCTCAGCACCAGGCCTAGCATGGAATCTTCCTGGAAACATTATTGTCATTGAGAAGAAAAACGCTGCGGTCCAGAATGGCAGCTACCTGAACTTCTGTCCGCACCGTTGGCTTGAGCACCCTGCCTACCACCCCTCCTCCCCAACCCCTGGCTGCCCAGGGCACTGCTCACAAAATGCCCCTCTTCTCCTTCCTGAGGCTCCTACTTCTCCATCTATGACAAGAAGGAGTGGGACCTCCAAGTGAGCTCTGAGGCCTGTTTTCCCCTGGGATCTGGGACATGTTGAGCTTGAGTGGGGGGGGGAGCGGTCTGACAGCCCCGGGGGGCGGTGCCGAAATAAAGAAAGGCTGCAGAGTTGATGGCAAAGAGGCCAGGGTTTGCTCAGGGCTGGGCCAGCTGTCCCTGGAGTTCTCCTGTGTGGGGGTCCCGATTCCAGCTGACTCTGTAGCCAAGGTCGAGGAGTCAGTCCCAACAGTCACTGCTATTCCCTGTATGCCTACACTCGGTCATTTCATGCCCACACCATCCCCCGGGGAAAAGGTTCAAGCCTTCTGATGCCAAAACTAAGGTTGAGAAAGCTGGAGCCCCAGGTCGCAGTTTGGGAAGATGGCAGTGCCTGAGTGTTTTGTTTTTGTTTTTATTTGACTGTGCCCAGTCTCAGCGGCGGCACGTGGGATCTTTGATCTTTGTTGCGGCATGCGGACTCTTTAGTTGCGGCAGTGCCTGACTTTTGACCCAGCTCTTTCTGATTTCAAGGTCCACGGTTTATCCTTTAGGGGTGGGGGTGGGGAAAGGGCTAAGAACTTTATAGTATTATCCCATCTCATCTTCACAACAAATTTCAAGTTTGGCTCGTTTTACAGAAGGAGAAACTGAGGCTTGGAAATAATGACTTGCCAGAGACCACAGAGTTGGTAGATCTTAGCCAGTTGTTTATATGAGGGATGTGTATCTAGAAGACACTGTTTGGGATCAGCTAAGGATGGGCTTCCCTGGTAGCTCAGCTGGTAAAGAATCTACCTGCAATGCAGGAGACCCCGGTTCGATTTCTGGATTGAGGAGATCCCCTGGAGAAGGGATAGGCTGCCCACTCCAGTATTCTTGGGCTTCCCCGGTGGCTCAGCTAGTAAAGAATCTGCCTGCAATGTGGGAGACCTGGGTTCAATCCCTGGCTTGGGAAGATCTCCTAGAGAAGGGAATGGCTACCCACTCTAGTATTCTGGCCTGGAGAATTCCATGGGCTGTATAGTCCATGGGGTCTCAAAGACTCAGACACGACTAAGTGACTTTCACTTTCACCTTTTCAAGGCTGGGGTGAGTCGCAAGTTCCAGTTCATGGGTGGGTAGATTTACTTATGTGGTAGGTCGTGATTGGTGGGACATGGATGGGGTATGAAATCGTTTTCTGGAATGTACCTCATAGGCAGTGGATCACCTGTGTTGTGTGTTTGGTAAAATATCTGTGTCCCTGTGTGTGGAGTAACTTATGGTGTACAGGCTGCCCACCCAGTAGTTCTTGCATGTAACAGACATGCATGTGGCATGGCTGTCTCTATTGATCATAGACTTTATTTAATCTAAGATGCTGTCTATCGAGATAAAAAATTTGTTATTTTTCCTATGGATTAAACTTTGACATTCCAGCGATCCCAGCCCACTTTTGGAAATAGGGATGAGACTGGATGAGACGCCCTATGTGTCGGTTTGTGAGAGGAGTAGCTGTGTGTGGCCTGTCACAGGTGTCAGACAGGTGGCAAGACCCAGAGTCAGCCCTAGGTAGCCCCTCCCAGGACTGTCCCTCCTTCTCCTCTATGTTTATCCCTTAGTCGGGTCTCCTGCCCAAAGCTCTTGGAACCAGGCTCAGATGTCCTTGGAGGAGCACAGGAGGAAGCCACCAGGAGATGAAGTCTTTTCCATCGGCCCTTATGGGATCTCTGTCCCTCCTTCCCTCCCTCAAGGTCCAGTACTTATCAACAAACAACTGGGCCAGCATCTTCACCCCACTTTACAGATGGGAAAGTTGAGGCCCTTAGAGAGACATGATTTAAACAAAGTTATCCGAATAGTGACAGAGCTAGTTCATAAATTACCAGGTTCTGCCATCAGTGGGATTCTCCAGGCAAGAATACTGGAGTGGGTTGCCATTCCCTTCTCCAGGGGATCTTCCCCACACAGGGATCAAACCCAGGTCTCCCGCATGGCAGGCAGATTCTTTACCATCTGAGGCACCAGGGAAGCCCTAAATCTGGTCTCCTCATGCCAAATCCAGCCTCTCTTCTCCAGAACAATTGCTGCCCCCAACTTCCCACCCTAATTATCTAAGCTCCAGGGAGAAGATGGAGGGAGGAGAACAAGGCTACACAGGCTGGAGGAAGGGCTTCTAATAGTTGGAAGAATGTGAGAGGAGGCTTCCACACATCCCTCAAACACAAGCCGCCTCTCCCTCCGATGTGCCCATTCATTAATTCACTCACCGTTTCACTCATTCAGTCCTTTACTCACTAATCCACCATTTCACTCGCGGATTCATTTCAATCTGTCTGTAATTCACCCACTCTTTTTTTTTTTTTTAATATTTATTGACTTAGCTGCATCAGGTCTTACTTGCATCACGCAGGATCTCTTGTTATGGTGCATGGACTCTAGTTGCGGCACTCGGGTTCAGTAGTTGAGGTGCAGACTTAGTTGCTTCAAAGCATGTGGGGTCTAGTTTCCCGACCAGGGCTTGAGCCCGAGTCTCCTGCTTTGCAAGGTGGATTTTTAACCACTGGACCACCAGGGAAGTCCCTCACCCACTCGTTAATTCACTCCTTCATTAATTCACCCACCCACTCACTTATTAATGCCCTCTTTCACTAATTCACCCACCCTTGCCCTTATTACCAAATCCCTCTGCCTGGCCCTTCCCTCCAACAAAGGAGGACAAGATCCCAGGCCTCCAAAATCATAGGTCCTTCTCCCCAGACCTGCACTTTCCACCTCTACCTCGAGACCTTATCTCCCCAGCTAGATCAGGAGCTCTTGCCCGTGTCTGTGTAGCAGGCAGTGAGGGCTGGAGGGGGTGAGAAGACAAGCACGAGCCACGAGTTGAAGGCCACAAGATCAGCAGGGCCCAGTCCCGAACAAAAATGCAGGCCCCTTGTTAAGGAGCCTGAGAATGGCGCTACTCTGCCCAAGAGTGCACTGCTCAGGTGGCGTGCCCACAAAGCCCACTCTGGAGGGAGGAGAGAAACAAGGGAGATACGAAAGGGAGGCCAAGAGGGTGGGAGTGGAGGGAAATGGATGCTTGTTTGGTGTTTTCCTAACGCCAACTCATTTAATACTCAGACCACCCTTTGAAGTTGATTGTGCATTTTCCTAGAACAGGAAACTGAGGCTCAGAGAGGAGAATCATTTACCCAGAGTTATGATTAGTAGGTGGTAGGCGCCTGAACGTTAATCCAGGTCTAAGGGGCTATAAGCCTCCCTTCTTCCCTGGGAGTTGGGGGAGGCAGGGGGCGGGGGTGGGGGGCAGCTGGAGGAGGTGACAAGGAAAGGAGTGATAGAGTCTGGGCCTGAGCACCTGGGCACAGCGGGGCTGGTGGTGCCCAGAGTGGGGTCCCGGGGAGCAGGGGAGGGGGCCTAGACGGGGGTCTGGTCCTCTCAGTCCTTCCTGCCCCCAGGGAAGGCAGGAAACTGGAAGGGACCTCCTAGAATGAGGATCTAGAAGACTGGTATGTGGGGCCTGGGACCACACTTTTGATTCACGAGCATGAGGCCGCGTTTTCTCTGCAGGAGCACTGAGGGTCGGAGTCAATGATTTGGGAAGTTCCTGAGTTAGGGCGTCTTGGAGGTGGGTTGTCAGCGTCTGGGGGCGCATGTGAGCGTGTCAATATCAGCATGACTCGGGGTGACAGTGACTCGGAGAGTGGCTGAGTCAGGGTCCAGTGAGTGCTGGAGAGGCAACGTGTGTCCATCATCTCACAGGACTGGTAACACGGTATTGGGGCGTTAGGGCCCCCCATCTGTTGTAAGAGCACCCCGGTGTCAGCCAGAAACCAACAGACAGCCAAATCCCCGGGGCCCCGCCCAGCCGGTCCACCAAGGGGGGAGCCGATTAACCATTAACCCCCACCCCTCCCAGCAGAGCCTCCACCCCTGCGCAGAGGCTAGGCCCGGACTCCAGCAGACCCTCCCAGAGGACGGTTTGAAACGCAGGAAGGCAGAGAGGGCGCCTGGGAGGAGGCGGTGGGAGGGCGGAGGGCGGAGGCCGGGGCTCGGCCCGGAGCCTTCGGGGTGGGCATCCTGGGCAGGGCAGGCGGCTGAGGCGGGGAGAGGGAGGATGCGCCTCTCCAAAACCCTTGTCGACATGGACATGGCCGATTACAGTGCCGCGCTGGACCCAGCCTACACCACCCTGGAGTTTGAGAATGTGCAGGTGTTGACGATGGGCAATGGTAGGTGGGGGCAGGTGTGCCCAGGTATTGGAGCGAGTCTGCTGCACTGGGCTTGGGGCTGGGGGGAGAGTGGTGGGTGAGCATGGAGCTCCCGTAGGTGAGAGCTCAGCGTTGCCGGGTGAAGTTGATGTGCCGAGGTACAGTGACCAGAAGCCTTCAGGGTGGCGGCGGGGGGGGGGGTCTGCCAGGGCCAGTCTGCAGCAAAAGCAGGCCCCGGGTGTTCCTGCCAGGCCCTCGCGGTCCCTGTGACCAAAGCTGTCGCCATGCAGCGTGTCACCGGGAGCGGGGACTTCGTGGTGAGCGTCCTCTCGGCGTCCAGCCCCGGTCATTGGGCCCAACGGGATCCCTGCTTGAACCGCTTGGGCCGAGGTCCAGAGAGATGGAAAGGTTATGTCCCATCCCCGGAGACGGTGGATGGAGACGTGACTATGTTTCAGCGTGTCTTTGCGACTTTCCTGGGGTGAACGCCCCACTTAGAGAAAATGGAGTTCTCATGGAGGTTTTGCTAAATGAGACGAGGATCAACACTGCGCATGCGCATGTGCATTGTGTGTGTGTGTGTGTGTGTGTGTGTGTGTGTGTTTACGTGCACACACACACAAGCACACGGGTGTGTGATTGTAAGCTCCTGTTGGCATGGGTGCTTGAGTTTCCGTGTACACACGTGGGCAAGTGGTGGACTTTGTTGAAAATGTATGTCTGCAGGAATCCATTTGCATGTTTGTGTTCACTGGTCTGTGTGTGCACGTGTTCTCCGTCTGTTTCTAGTTGCATTTCTTCTCTGAGTGGGTCTGTGTTTGTTGTTATCTCTTGGGATATCTGTGTTTATCTTGCTTATGTCCATAAGTGGCAATGAGTGTGTGTACAGTAAGCGGCAATGAGTGTGTATACGGTAAGCAGTGATGAGAGTGTGTACAGTAAGTGGCAATGAGTGCATATACAGTCAGCAGCAATGAGTGTGTGTACAAGTGTCTGTGGACGTTTGCACACGTGAGCTCTGGACGTGGATTGGTTTGCGTGTCCTGGGTTTCCCGGATGTATGTCCAGTTTGGGCATCCTGTCTTGTGCCCCTGTTTGTACCTGCTTTTGTACGTGTGCACAACTGTGTCCTGGGAGGTCAGCACTCTCCAGTGCTCATGCGATATGCCATTGCCGTTTGACACACGCGAGTCACATCAGCAACACGTCCATTTGTCTCTGAACGGATTGCGTTGCCTGTGTGCCTCCCCAGGTTTGCACATCTGAAGGGGTGGGGGGAGTTTTCTACAGGAAGGTGGGGGAAGGGAGCAGGCTTGGAAGGCCGGACGCCGGGGCCTGAGCGGTCGCAGGGCAGCCTCAGAGGAGGGGGCAGCCCGCCCGCCTTCCTTCCACGGCTCTGCAGCCTTAGCCGAGCTCTGTAGCACTCGAGTCAGCTCAGCTCAGCCAGAGAGAGGTGTCTGCCCTGCCCGTGGCCAGTGGGCACGATCCGTGGCCATCTCACCGTCTGCTCGCCTTCCCCTGCCATTCACTCACTGTGTGACCTTGGGCATGTCACCTCCCCACTCCTTGCTCCTTCTGCAAAATGGGCTTAGTCACTCCAGGCCTGCTGGCTTTCAGGAGTGTCCAGGGATCATGTGAGGGAGCTGAGGGTAAAACATGTAGGCAGTGGTAAACAAGAAGCTGCTGCACTAGGCGGGGTATGTGTGACCCCAGAGAGACGGTATGTAAGACACCTGACCACCATCTAGCCCCCCATCACCCATTCAGGGTGGAAGTGTGTATTCCCGAGGCAGGGGCTTACCCGATGTCTTGAAGACGGGGCAGCTCTAGCTCTGGAGCCAGAAAGATCAGGGCTCAAGGTGGCCATCCTTCCTACCAGTGTAAACTTATGAAGTCATGTGCCGCTCTGAGCCTCAGTTTTCTCATCTGTAAAATGGGAATAAATCATAGTGCCTGCCTCCCAGGGCTAACCAGAGGATCCCATACGATAAGGCACCTGAGGGCTTAGCACTGGTAACTGGTCCTGCGCCCTCCATGAGTCAGGTCAGGAACTCTGAGCATCTTTAAGAAGGGTCTACATTCCACATTAGAGTTTGAAGTGGGCCAGAAAGTTGGGGTGATGTTTTGCATATGTGCTACGTTGGCAGCTCAAAGTTTCCAAGCTCCCTACCCACCTCCCATTCCTGATTCAGAAGGAGCAGGGGGTGCTTGTTTATCAGAGGCTCCAGCAGACACCCCAACAGGACAGCACTGGCCAGATCAGCACCAGCCTGCATGCCTGGACCATAAATCCGACTCCTCTACTTAGCAGCAGTGTGATGACTCTGGGCAGGTCCTGTCCTTTCTGAGCCTTGATGTTCTCACCTGGAGAATGGGCACCATCACCTGACCCTGGGGAGTAGGATGAGCTACTTGGCAGCACCCAGCCTATCCTGCCCAGGATGTGTGAGCCCTTCCCCCAGTCTCCGCCTGAGTTGTGGGGTCAGCTCTCCCGGTGGTTGGAGGAGGCAAGGCTGGAGGAGAAAGGGCACCAATGCAGCTTAACAATTATCCTCATCTCTAGGAATAATTCACCAAGTGGAGGGGGCCATGCTCCTGGGCACCTCAGAGGCGGCGAGATGTTCAGCCAGGACATGACAGAAATGAGATGTGGCAGGGTGTCTGCTTGTGCACAGAGGCTGGAAATCATCTGCTCCCAGAGTCTTCTTCTGCAGAAAAGTTTTTATTTTACAAACACTGATATAGTGCTTCTTACCTGCCAAGCACTTCACATATATTGATTCACTGAACCTTCATAACAGCCCTAGAGATTTTTATGTGCCCCATTTCACAAGCGGAGAAGGCAATGGCAACTCACTCCTTGGAGAAGCCCAGGGACGAGGGAGCCTTGTGGGCTGCCGTCTATGGAGTCGGACAGAGTTGGACACGACTTAAGCGACTTAGCAACAGCAGCAGCATTTCACAAGTGAGGAAATGAAGGCACTGAGAAATACATTAATGTGGCCAAGGTCCCATGGCTAAGAAGTGGGCAGGCTCAGATATAAACTGGGCAGAAGGGCTAGAGAGATTATGCTCTTAACCACAGCACTACATCCCTGTCCAGTGCTTAGCTAGATGTTCCCTAGGAGCCCACGATCGGATTCAGGATGAAAACACGTGTGTGTGTGTGTGTGTGACTTTGTGTGGTATGTGTCTGCAAGAATTTTTCTGGGGAGATGGTTCACAGTATCATCTTTTCTAAGAGGTCTATCCTTGGTGGAAGAGTTGCTTACAAAAACAAGGGTTCAGCTATGGAAATATAAGATAAAATTGAAAATGACTGAACCAGTCAATCTGCTCTCTTTTGCAATTAGGGAAACTGAGGCCCAGGGGAAACTCAAGCAAGGAAAAGGAACTTGCCTAAGGTCACAGACAACTTAGAGGAGGCACTAGTCCCCAAGACCACAGCCACCTGCCTCTTATCCCCTCCTCACAGAGATGCAGCAGTTGTGTTTTCTTTTTTTTTTTGACCCCACAGTATGTGGGAATCTTACTTCCCTGACCAGGGATCAAACTCACTCCTCTTGCACTGGAAGTATAGAGTCTTAACCACTGGACCACCAGGGAAGTCCCAATGCAGTAGCTTTTGTTATGGGGTGCCCAGATCCTTGCTATGATCCTCCCAGGAGGGCAAACAAGCCACTGTCCCTGATGTAGGTCTTCCTGTTTCCTGGCAGAATTTGCAAGGCCCCTGAGTAAGAAGCTGAGACTCACCCAGCCTTGGCCACTCAGTGAGAAATAGGACTTGGTTCTGGAGATGATGGGGGAATATTTGCTCCTCTCCTAGACCCTCTGCCCAGCCAATCAGGGTCCACAACTGTTGGACGCATCCTAGGAGACAGCCAGTTTCTTCATTCCTTCCCAGAGAAAGCTGAGGCTGGCAATTGCCACCAAGGGGAGGAGCAGACCCTCGTTAAACAACTCTACGAAGTCAGTGTCACAACCATCCCTAAGTTATAGATGCAAAATGGGAGTTCCAAAACAGCAAGGAGTGCTCACTTCGGCAGCACATATACCAAAACAGCAAGGAACTTGCCAAAGTTCTTTGAAGGGGGGTCAGTAACACTTGGGTCTAGCCAAGGCTGAAGCCCTTTAAAGATCCCCGCAAAGCTCACATCCGTTTCTGAATCTAATCCACCAGGAGAGCAGGGCTTCCGAGAGGTGACTTTCTGCCCCTCCTGCATCCTCACTCTTTGCTTTTCTGGCGCAGACACATCCCCCTCAGAGGGTGCCAACCTCAACGCACCCAACAGCCTGGGAGTCAGCGCCCTGTGTGCCATCTGCGGGGACCGGGCCACGGGCAAACACTACGGTGCTTCGAGCTGTGACGGCTGCAAGGGCTTCTTCCGGAGAAGCGTGAGGAAGAACCACATGTACTCTTGCAGGTGAGGAACCTTGATTTCTCCATTCGGGAAATGGGTGCACTTGGGCTGATGTTCCCACAGGTCTGTCTTCTCCCTGGGTAGGTCTTGGAGCCATCTGCCCCTCAAGGCCTTCAAGCCTCTGATTTCTTCGCCCTTGCAGATCCAGATGGGAATGTCTATTCTAGACAGCCCTTTATTGAGCACTTTCTATGTGCCAGGCACCATATTGAGTTTTTGCCTGTATTAACTGCTCCCGGAAGTGCATTGTGATTTTTCCCATTTAGCAAATGGGGACCTCTGAGGCTTAGGCTCAAGTCTCCTCTGAAACCACAGAGGGTGAGGCCCATCTCCCAACCTGGTGCTTTTTCTGGGGTGGATTGGGGGTTGGCCCCAGGCCTTTCCACCTCTCTCAAGGCCTTGGAGAGTCATCCTTCAGAAGCATCTCCCCTTCTGGGTAACAATAATAAAATAATAGCAGCTGTAGTTACAAGCTCTTACTATGAACAGACACTGCATTGAGCCCCATTTGGGTAATTATCTCATTTTCACCTGTCAACACCCCTCTGCGGAGGTTACTATTATTATCTCATTTTATAGATGAGGAAGCTGTGACTTGGAGAGGACTGGGAATTTGCCCAAGGTCACCCAGCTTGAATCAACGGCAGAGCCCTGGGGTGACAGGGCACCACCCAGAACCACAGTGGCGCTTGCCTGCCTCTACTCCATATCCCCCTCCAAAAAGTGGCTTATGTGGACCAAGTACTGAAACTGATTCACAGCCAGCAGCCCACTCTGGGCTCTGGGCTTTTAATAAGATACATGGGAAATAGCAGTGCCTCTACTCATAGCTGAGTGATCTGAGGCCACGTGTCCACTCTCCGAGCCTGTTTCCTCATGTTTAGGGGGTCAGGGTTGGGCTCTCAGAGAGTCCACAGGGCCTTTCCAGCTCCTGGTTGGTTAGCTGGAGGACTCCTGGGATGAAAGGTTTGAGCAAGGAGCCTGGAGGTCAACCAGATGGCCAGGATCCTAGTTGAGCCCAGGGAGAAGGAGGGTTGTCCTTTCTTCCTCCAACCGCCCCAAGCCCTCCTCAGGTTTAGCCGGCAGTGTGTGGTGGACAAAGACAAGAGGAACCAGTGCCGCTACTGCAGGCTCAAGAAGTGCTTCCGGGCTGGCATGAAGAAGGAAGGTGAGCCTCGGCCCCCTCCTGCCACCCCCCTGCCCCACCCGTACCCACAAGCTCCTGACAGCCATTTACAACTGTGGCCACAACTTTATGACTCAGTGACAGGCCCCAGGTGACTGGCTAATGGCTGAGAGGAGGGAGGGCCTGAAGATCTGACCATAGGGAGGGGCTGGGCTTGGTCTTGAGAAAGATTCCAAGAGATAAGCTCCTACTTTCAGCTACTCGGGTTCCCAGCACCACCTCCCCTGCCTGCCTTCGCCACCACAAGGCAGCCAGGTTGGGTGTTTTTTCTTTTTGTTTTCTTTAACGTGATTTTATTTTTTCATTTTTTGGCTGCACTCCTCGGCATGTGGAATCTTAGTTCCCTGACCAGGGATTGAACCTGCACCCCTTGCAGTGGAGACACAGAGTCTTAACCACTGGACCATCTGGAAGTCCCTGGGTGTTTTTGCTTAGTGTACTATTTCAAGCATCAGGAAAAATGTAGAGAGTGGCATGACGAACTTGCATGGCCCCACGACTAGACTCAGCAAATGTGAACGGGGACGGGGCGGGGCTCATCTCCCATCTTCCTGTTCCAGGGTCAAGTGCCCCAGCTCCTTAGTCTTCGTTCCTGGATATCACATGACCCAGCGTCCTCAGGCTCTAGAGAAATGGAACAAGGCATCAGACTTGTTCTGGGTGGAGGAGGCTGGGAGTGCTGGGGCACAACATTTATTAGGGTGTCTCCTGCCTCCTGACACCAGTAGCTGGGCTTTTCCACCTGGCTGGGCCTTTCCACCATTGATAGTTCTTTTCATTATCATGACAGCCCTGCAGGGTGCTATTATCACCCCCACTTTTCATAGACAGGGGAACTGAGGCCCAGAATGGGTCAACAACTTGCCTAAGGCCCCCCCAGTTGGTCGAAGCAAGCTCCGAAGTTTGAACCCCAAGCTTTGGTCTTGAGCTCAATGTGGTTTGGATGATACCTCGATGCTGCCTGCATCCAGATTCTAGGAATGTTTGAAAGTTTTCTAGCCCAAGCTCAGGAAACAAACATCTTTTAACTGCTTCTCTGAGTAACTTGAGTCCATTTTTAAATCTGTCTCCTTCTCTGCTCAACACACCTTTCCCAGCCCTGAGACTGGCTCCCAAACCTTCACTTCCAGCCCGCAGCTGCGGCACACTAGCCAAAACCCTTGGTCTAGTTCTGCACAAACACATACCTGCTCCACCCACCCCCAGCAAGATTCTGGGACCCAGCCTTCCCCCGGCCAACCGGGAAGAGGGGAAACTTGGCTTTGGCAGTCTCCCCTCCCTGACTCTGCCTCTTAGCCCCTGTTTCTCTGCCCACCTCCTGGGAAATATCCTCTGGGTCTCATCCCTATAGGGCCCTGAGAGTTTATGACCCCTGCTGCAAAACCTGGGCTGTGACCCTCAGGAACACGCCATGATGCTCGCAACACGACGATTCTCTCATCTGGACCTCAGTGGTTCTCAAGAGCAAGGAGAACCTTTTTCAAAGGGCAGATGCCCCCCAGCTCTCCCCACCCAGTTTTCGATGGGATTGACCACTCTCACCTTGAACTTGAGCACAACTTTGTCGAATGAGAAATGTTATGAATGAGGGACTTTCCTGGCTGTCTAGTGGTTAAGACTCTATGCTTCCACCGCAGGAAGCGAGGGTTCAATCCCTCATCGGGCAACTACTATCCCGCTTTCAACAGGCCATGGCCACCAAAAAAGAAAATAAATAAATAAAAGAGATGTCATGAATGGGAATATGAGGCATGTGTGAACAGCTAGGGCCTTTCCGGGTGGCTCAGCGGTAAAGTGTCTGCCGGCAGTGCAGAAGATGCAGGAGACCCAGGTTCAATCCCTGGGTTGGGAAGATCCCTTGGAGGAAGGCATGGCAACCTATTCCAGTATTCTAGCTTGGAGAATCCCGTGGACAGAGGAGCCTGGCGAGCTTATAGTCCATGGGGTCACAAAGTCGGACACGACTGAAGCAACTGAGCACACACACATGAATAGCTAGAGGCAAGGAAACAATTGAGAGCTACAGTCTAAGAGTCAAACAGTTTAGGGTTCTACCAGCCAGTGATTCTAGCAGCTCAACAGCCTAAGATTTTATGTTTGAGAAAATGAATCTCTTGTGTTAAAATTCCAAGCCTTGTGACAGGTGGGAGGGAGAAAGGTTGCCAGCTCACCTGAGCAGACAGCTACCGTCCTAGGTTGTAGGTAGCCTGTTCCTGCATCTCACTGTTCTTTATAGGTGTCTCCTATTAAACATTCAGAGTCACTTTCGTGTGTTACTTAAGTGGAGTTTCTGCCCCATCTGGGCTTCAGTGTTCATATCTATAAAATCACTGGGTGGATAATGAACCCTTCCAGCTCTGTCTTGCTACATGCCCACTGATCTACCTGTGCAAGTACACACTGCCCACCAGGACATGTGTGTTTGTTCCCTGGTCCTCCCACTGGACTGCCGCAGAGATGGCAGGCCCAGGGGAAGGAGAGTCCCCAGCCATTCTACCTTGGCTTAGCCTTGAAAATAGCCAGTTGCTTCTTATCTTGGAGAAGGTGGCATTATGCCAGGAGGAGAGGAGAAAACCAGCTAATGGCAAGTGCGTGTGGGCTGTGGGAAAGGCTGGTGGTTATTTGCATGCTTGGGTTAACCAGAAGATCATGACATATGCAGTGGGCTCAGTTGCTTTGAGAACAGGCTAGGGTAGCAAAAGTTTCCATTGCCATTGTGGTCAAGTTCTGGGAAGTAAGGGCATGACTAGCTCTTGTTGTTATTGTTCATTTAATAAATGAACTTAACAAGTCACATCCAACTCTTTGCAACCCCATGGATTGCAACACGCTAGGCTTCCCTGTCCTTCACTGTCTCCTGAAGTTTGCTCAAACTCATGTCCATTGAGTCGGTGATGCCATCCAACCATCTCATCCTCTGTCATCCCCTTCTCCTCCTGCCCTCAGTCTTTCCCAGCATCAGGGTCTCTTCCAATGAGTCCGTTCTTCACATCAGGTGGCCAAAGTATTGGAGCTTCAGTATCAGTCCTTCTAATCAATATTCAGAGTTGATTTCCTTTAGGATTGACTGGTTTCACTAGCTCTACCTAAGTTTTATAGTCCCAATACCCCTCCTTGGCTTGGTGGGAGGTTCTCAGAGCCAAAAGAGATTCTCAATGGAAGCCCCAGGGATTGGGAGAGTTGGGACAAGTTTTTATTTCCCTTCTTTGATGGCCCTAAGAGAATCTGGGAATTAGAACTCCAAAGTTGTCTCTGAGGACAAGAAAGCATGGATTGTAAATGTAGCATTCATAGACCAGTTGGGTGTATAGGAGGTCATCAAATCTCTCCATTTTACAGATGGGGAAGTTGAGACCAGAGAGGTAATATGATTGGGTCAAGGGCAGAGGAAGTCAGGACTAGACCTCGGACTCCCCAGAGCTGAGCAGACACCAAATTCCCTGGATGAGAACTAGAACTGATGGCCTTGGGAGGCACCTGGATTTGGTCAAGTCTCCTGAAACTTCCTTTCAACCACAGAGAAGGGCTCTGAATCTCAAAGTCTTGTGAGTTTGGCCAGAGGATATTCCATGGTGGTCAAGTGGGTTAAAGAATGGAGACTCTGGGAAGAAATCTGGGGGTCAGTGGGCCCAACGGCAGGTCCCAAATTCTTTCCTATAAACCTACACCTACCTGAGCCTGAGCTGTCAGACCCAGGACAAATGTCTGACTCTCGATATTGGAAATTCAGCCCAGGATATAGGGTCAGAGATGCAGGAGGTACAAGCCGGCGGTAGGCCAGAGGCCCACAGATGGGCCCTTCCTGGGATCCCCGGCCCAGCACCCCCTTCCCACACCCCCACTCAGGGGTTCTCTCAGAAGACAAGCTCATCCTCTCTGCCTCTGCCCAGGGCCGGTTAATATTCAATAGAAGTTACATTTAGGTCCCCGACCCTGCTAATACTGAGCAAACATTTGGAAAACATCATTCCGTGACTGAGCTCGCGCCGGGCACTGATAACGCCGGCCTAACCTTGAGGAGCCCAATCCCCAGCTGCTGACAGCAGCCCTTTTCTTAGGCCCGCCGCCACTTGGCGCCCTGGTGGGTGCGGGCTGGCAGCTGCGGGAGGGGTGTTGTGGGCGGGGCAGGACCCGGGCAGGGGAGTGCTGCTGGGAGCTGGCCCCCTGTCCAGGGTGGTGGGTCTGGGAAGAGGAGTTTTCTTACCTTGGACCTCTGTTACACCCCACTAACTCTGGGTTCCCTTTACACTATCTGGCTTTTTAAAAATTTTTTGGCCATACCACGTGGCTTGTGGGATCTTTAGTTCCCTGACCAGGGATCAAATTTACACTCCCTGCATTGGAACTGCAGTCTTAGCCACTGGACTTCCAGGAAAGTCCTACACTAGCTGACTTCCGTTCTCTGATTTCAATGATGTTTGAAATCAAGAGGGAGTTGAAGAGCGGAATGTCAACATTCCATTGAGAAATGGGGCATAGATTGCACCCGAGAATCAAAGCTTGTCTCCTTCTGCACCTTCTTTCGGCCACTCAATGAATATTTATTGAGCACCCATTGCGTGCCAGGGTTCTAGTTGCTGGGGCTATAGCAGTGGATGAAAGGGAAGATATTCTGGCTTTCTGGCGCTTTCTTTCTCTTACACAGACAGAGAGTGAAGAAAGGACAGAGAACAAGTACCAAGAAGAAAAATAAAACAGGAGAAAGGGGCAGAACCTGCAGGAGGGATATCCCCATCAGACAGGGTGGTCAGAGAGGGTGTTTCTGAGAGGTGATATTTGCAAGGAGACATGAGTAAAGAGAGTGGGAGAAGCTTAGTTGTGGGGGATGGGGTGTGGGTGGAGGGAAAATTCCAGGCAGTAGGAACAGCAGTGGCGAAGACTGGAGAGTGGCTGAGTGAGTCCCAGGAATGGCTGGGAGGCAGGTTTGATAGAGAGAGTAAAAGTGAGACGGGGGAGATAGGACCACCATGAGGAAGGGTGACCTAACTCCAGGTATGATGGGGAGGTCCTGGGTTTCCGCAGTGGAGGAATGTGACCTAAGTCGGGTTTTAGGGGATCCCTTTGACTTCCGAGAGGTGCACAGACTGCAGGGGTAAGGCCGGAAGCAAAGCAGGCCGAGAGGAGGGTCTGAACTCCCTCAGGACCCAGCCCAGAGTGGGAGCTGCCGGTGGGTTTGCACGGATTACTGACAGCATTTGGAGTGTGTGTGTGTGTGGTGGTGGTGGGGTGGTGGGCAGGTAGGTGAGAGAACGAGACATAGCAAGGTCCCTAGGCTGGGAGGAAGGATAAAGCTGCCTGTTCCTGAGATGGGAAAGACCAAGAGGAGCAGGTCTGGGAAAGAAGCTTACAGATGGGGGAACTGAGGCCCAGAGAGAGGGTGTGGCCCCCACCAGCACATGGAGACTGAGTGGCGAACCCCGCCAGGAGCCCAGGTCTCCTGCAGCCTCATCCGCCCTCCTTACAGCCTCAACCAAGGCCTCCCGGACCCCAAAGGCCAGTCAGGGCGGCAGAAGGAGACTTAGGCCAGCACTGACCCAGGTGGAGGTGCAAGGGGGTGTGGGGCCCAGTGGACAGAGGCCCCAGATCTCTGAGTTCCTGGGAGGGGAGCCCCATGGTGGAGCAGGAGGGAGCCAGAGCTTTCAAGAGCTGTCTCTGAGAAGGTTAGCCTAGAGCACATGTGCTTCCTACTGATGACTGAGACCCCAGGGCAGGTGGGGCCTCCAGACACCCTTCTCCAGGCTTCTGCCTCTGTACTCAGGAGTCCCTGGGCCATCTCCATCACCCAGAGCAATTCATTTTGCTTGTCTTATCCACTTTCACCTGGAAAGGAAGGGACCCTTTTCTAAAACACAGCTTGAAAGCCTGTCATCGAGATAGATCTCCTACTCAAAGTTCAAGACCTGCCTGAAGCCCTCTGCCGAGTCATCACAGCCTTGCATGCCTCCCATGACGGGTAGATCACTCCTCAAGCCGCCCTGTTGTGTGAGGAGCAGTGGTGGTGCTGGGAAAGTTCTCCCACAGGCTGGCTTAGGAGCCGTTGACCCCCATCCCCACACGCTGACCTGGGCTCTGTGGCCTGGACACTCTCCCTCCCGCCCCGAACTCCCACCTCCAAGTGCGTTCCCTTTGCTCCTGGACAGCCCTGCAGGACAGCCCTCCGGGCTCACCTCTCTCCCCTCGTCCTTCAGCCACCCCTCCTGCCATGGGACCCCTCTCCTCCCGCTCACCCGCTCTGCCTCCTCACAGCTGTCCAGAATGAACGGGACCGGATCAGCACTCGCCGGTCCAGCTATGAGGACAGCAGCCTGCCCTCCATCAACGCGCTCCTGCAGGCCGAGGTCCTGTCCCAGCAGGTACCCAGGGAGCCTCCCCCACCCAGCTGGGGCCTCCTCATCCCAAAGAGGAATCTCAACTCCACCCCTTTCCTCCCCACCCGGGCCTTAGAGCAGCAGACGGGAGGGCCCTCGGACATCACGAAGGGAAACAGTCCAGGGTCACACAGCCCATTTAGTAGCAAAGACTCAAACCCCGGTGGCTCTGATGGTAAAGAATCCGCCTGCAGTTGCCTGGGTTCCACCCCTGGGTTAGGAAGATCCCCTGGAGGAGAGCATGGCAACCCACTCCAGTATTCTAGGAAGTTCATGGAGATCTCCCGTGGACAGAGGAGCCTGGTGGGCTGCAGTCCATGGGGTCGCAGCCAGTCGAGCATGACTGAGTGACGAGGCACAGCACAAACCCCCGGCTGGCACCTGGCGGCCCCGTGGGGCCTGCAGTGCGCAGGCCAAGCTGTCTCCACTCTCACCAAGGGTCTGAGATGGGCTTCGCCCCGAGAGAAGAGAGGAGTGGGCAGGCGGGCAGAGTAGCACACGGGCTCAGCCAGCCCCCCTTGCTGTGTGACCTTAGGCGAGTCGCAGGGCCTCTCTGGGCAATGGTTTCTGCACCTTCCGATGAGGATGGGGACTTTTGCCCTGCTTCTCCTCTAGGGCCGATGGGTGTTTTTAGGCTTCAAAGGAGCCGGTGGAGGAGGAGGTAGGGGGCGAGCAGCAGATGAAGGCCCAGAGAGCCTCCTTGGCATCCTCCCTTTCCCTTTCCAGTTTCCCCGGAGCGTCCTTCAGAGCTGAGAAGGCGCCCACAGTCCAGCTCCTCTTTCCCAGGCAGGGAAGCTCTCTGGGGGTGGGGGCTCTCTGCAGGGGACAGAGTATATGAAGGGGATATCCACCCCAGCGTTTTCCTCCGCCTCCCCTAGATCACCTCCCCTGTCTCTGGAATCAACGGCGACATTCGGGCGAAGAAGATCGCCAGCATCGCGGATGTGTGTGAGTCCATGAAAGAGCAGCTGCTGGTGCTCGTCGAGTGGGCCAAGTATATCCCAGCCTTCTGTGAGCTCCCCCTGGATGACCAGGTGAGGGTGGACACGGTCTGCAGGCCCTGGGTAGGTGGGTAGGTGGGTCCTGCTGCTCCCCACCCCACCGGATATGGCCTTGGACTGGTTCGATTTATTTCACAAACGCATAGTGCTCATGTGTGCATGGAGCTGTTTAAATCACTTTACAAATGTTAGCTCATTTAATCCTTCTGACAACCCTAGGGAAGGTAAGTGCTATTATGACCATCATATAGGTGAGGAAACTGGGGACACAGAGAGGTTAAATAACTTGCTCAAGGTCACACAGCTAGTGTCCAACACAGCTGGTATTAGAACGAGCAGGGAGGCTTCGAGGTCCAGGCCCGTAGCCTCTGCACCGCTTCATCTGACAGCTCTCCCAGGTAGGATGTGGGTAGGGGCTCAGGGTTAGGGCTTAAGCCGTGGCTCTAAGAAAGATTCTCTGTGTCATCTTGGACAAGTTACTTCCTCTCCCCAAGCCTCCGTTTTCTCATCTGTAAAGTATGAATTGTAATATCCCCTTCAGAAAGCTGTTGGGAGGATGGAGAACATTGCCATTTAAAAAGCGTCAGTGGTGTAACAGGACACCTACACAGTCCTGGCCTCCCTAAATGTCAGTTTCTTCCTTGTATCCCACCGAGATGGATTTTCATTCAGCATGTTATTTCCCAAACTACCTTCTTTGGAATACCAAAACTGTCTTAGGGGGAAAAGCTGGGGCTGAGGGATGGGGCGCTGAGGACAGTCGAGTTCCTGAGCACTTGATCAGGGCGCCCCCCGAGGTCTCTGCAGACATTTTCTTTGTCTGGGAAAGAGGAGCTGAACTGGGCCATCAACTCAGCTCCTATGGAAGCTGGGCGGCACCAATGGACAGTGTTCCAGATACCGGCTCCTGGTACATTTGCTTCTCTGTTTTGTAATTCTGCACAGAAGATTGGCAACATGTGTCGGCCTCTTAAAGCTTCTGAAAAGTCCTCAGGCAAGGCAGCTGTTGAACCTTGGGAAGCCAGGGCTTCTCAAAGTCCTCTGGTGCCCAGGCGCTTCTGGAATGCATTTGCGTCACGTGGTGGAACACAGTGTGAAAACTCTGGCTTGGCTGGTCCTCACCCTCACACAGGGGTCAGATCGGATGCCTTCTCACACGGATTCCTCGCTGCTTCAGGAGGGATGACAAGGCAGGGATCTTGGCCAGGCTGCCCTGGCCTTCTTCCCTGCTCCTCGTGTTCTGGCCCTGGTCCCCTCTGCTGGAGAGGCTCCATTAATGTTTAATCCCTCCTGTTCCTTCCCAGGGGCTCAACAGGACAACAAGATTCCCCCCACAAGATGAGCAATTGTTAACCTCCATTTCCCACCCAAACCTCCCTGGCTGGGGCTCAGAGCATTCTCAGAGAGCAGTGATGGGTGGCCAGTAACACAGAATAATCATTAACATCACCACCCACCACCTGCCCACCCCCAGAACAGTCAAGTTAGGGGGCTGGACCCAGGGCCAGGAGGGTTCCCAGCTCCCCATTCATAGTGTATAAGGAGCTTATCTTGCCTGTGATGGGTGGGGCACAGCTGGGAGAACTTGGGGATGTTGTCCATCAACATTGCCCCAGGAACCAAGTGTGTTTGCTTCTTGGTTTGTTTTGGGCATCGACCCACTGAAACCTAGAAGGCTGGGTAGCATTGGATAAGGGGATGGAGGCTTGGAGAGAAAGAGAGATTTGCACAAGGTCACAGAGCAAGACAGCCACAGGGTTCGACTCTAGGTCTTCTGTCCCTCAATCACAGAGACACTGCAGTAAGTGACGAAAGTCCTGCATGGTGCCTGAAGTGTAGGAAGTGCTTGATAATCAGCATGCTTTGGTCTCCTTTTGTCCTGGTCATGGAAAGGGAGTTCTCACCCTCCTCCAAGGCTGTTTGCCATTCCCCCTCTTTTCTTGTCATCGTCAGGCTTCACCTTGGGGGTTCACATGTAAGGACATGGCTGCAACAGGGGCTCAATCTGGGAGGATGTTAAATAGACTGGCTCATCCATTCACCTGTCCCTTCGCCTTTCATTCAAACAAATATTTATTGAATGCCTACTATGTGCCAGGTGTCCTCCTTGCCTTAGAACAACCTCATGTCCTTAGTGAGGCCTTTTATGATTTATCCCATTGCTCTTCATCGCATGAGCCTCATCTTCCTTTCTTCTTCCCCTCCTTCCTTCCATCCATTTATTTCTTCTTTCTTTCTCTCTCCCTTCCTCTCTCCTTCCTTCCTTCTTTCTCCTCCTCCCTCCTTCCTTTCTTTTCACTATTTTGTCCCCAAACAAGCATCTGGCACTTGTGGTTGTCATTCAGTCTCTCAGTCGTGTCCCACTCTGGGGTGAGACCCCATGGACTACAGCACACCAGACTTCCCTGTCCTTCGCATGTCCATCGAGTTGGTGATGCCATCCAACCATCTGATCCTCTGTCGCCCCCTTCTCCTCCTGCCTTCAATCTTTCCCAGCATCAGAGTCTTTTCCAATGAGTCAGTTCTTTTCATCAGGTGGCCACAGTATTGAAGCGTCAGCTTCAGCGTTAGTCCTTCCAATGAATATTCAGGACTGATTTCCTTTAGGATAGACTGGTTGGATCTCCTTGCAGTCCAAGAGACTCTCAAGAGTCTTCCTCAGCACCACAGTTCTAAAGCATCAATTCTTCAGCACTCAGCCTTCTTTATGATCCAACTCTCACATCCATACATGACCACTGGAAAAACCATAGCTCTGACCAGACAGATCTTTACTGGCAAAGTGATGTCTGGCACTTAGTAGGCACTAACATCTGATGACTGTAAGAATGAACAATCCAATGAATTAATGCATAAAAGCATTTTTGCTTCCTAGTTTAGTCTGCTAAAGAATTTCCAAACTCCCTAACCCAACCTTGCAGATAAGATCCTTGAGGCTAAAAAAAAAAAAAAAAAGATCCTCGAGGCTACCAGCCTGCTACCATTTGACCAGTCCCATCCTTGGTCCTCATGCAAGCACTGAAGCAGGTGGTTCTGAAAAGGCAGGTGATGCCCTCCTGTGGGCTGGCAGGGCTCCCACCTACCAGACTCCAGACTCAGACTTCAGTCTTCCAAGTCTTCTCTGTCCTCTCTGCAGGGAAGGGGTTGGTCAAGTGGATCCCTGACCAAGGACCAGTGCTCACACCCTTTGCCTTGGGAACCAGCATCCATGTCCAGATTCTTATAACAGAATCTAGAATCTTCTAGCTTCAAGTGGGTGGATGCTCTAGAGATCTCTTGGAGCAGCGATTTCCTAAACACAACCATGCATCAGAATCAACTGAGGAGTTTATTAATTTCAGATCCCTTGGGCCCACCCCAGACAAAGAGAGTCAGTGCCTTGGGTAGTAAGGCCTAAGAATCTGTGTTTTACAAAACACCCTTCATCATGTTACATAGCTGATCCATGAGTTGTAATTCAGAACCCCCAAAAAAGCTCTAAAAGTTTTAGAACTTTTTGGGTTTGTAGACCCTCTTGAGAGACTGATGAAAGCCTTTAAGTCTCTGCTAACACACACACACAGAGTGTTGTTAACAATTTTACCAGGCACACAGACACAGAGAGGCCCAGAGGGGAGCAGCAGCTTACCCCGAACGCAGCAGTTCAAGGGCAGAGTTGGCATTTGGTGTCGCGGCTCTGAGCACAGGTTGTTTCTCCTTTCAGGGGTCAGCCGAAGCTTTTCCATGTTTCTAGTTTTATCAGTTATAAGAGGAAGGCAGCAGTTTTCTGATGCCCATCTTATCATTCAGACAGGTAAAGGCAAGTAGAACACTAATGCTGACTTGCTCAGGGTCATTGGCGGGGAGCAGCCTCCCCAGGAGTGTAGATGCCTTCCCAGGCATGCGGACACCGGACGCCATCCCCTCTCTCTTCCAGGTGGCCCTGCTCAGAGCCCACGCCGGCGAGCACCTGCTGCTCGGAGCCACCAAGCGCTCCATGGTGTTCAAGGATGTTCTGCTTCTAGGTGAGGATGCTCTCTGCATGCCCAGCGTGGAGCGCACCTGGGCATGGGAGATTTCCATGGTGGTGTGCAGAGTGAGGGAAGCAGATCAAGGATGGTCTTGTCCTCAGTATTCTCAACTGGATACCTGATTCAGATGCAAGGAAATGTGGACTCAAGGAATTAAATTCCCCAGCATTCACATTACAGCACAGTCAGGCTTAGCCCTGGGATAACCTGTGCCTTCAGATATACTTTCTGGAGAGGGAGCAAAAGGCAGCCAGGAACAGCACAAACCCCCAGTCTGTGTCACCTATGCCTTCATAACATGTTTGTTTATCATTCTAACTTCTTATATAGGGCACACCATGGGTCCTAGTCTGAGTACTTTACAAATACTAACTCCTCTAGTACAATGACCCAATGAGATAAGCTCTATAATTTATTCCCATTTTACAAGTGGAAAAACTGAGGCACAGAAAGTAATTTATCCAGATAGATCTGGCTAGTCAGTTGAAAAAGCAAGATTCAGCCCAGGTGATCTAATTCCAGAGCCTGAGCCCTTACCCTTGGTGCTTTTATGCCTCCCAAGCAGCCCTTGAATGTCGTCAGTCTTGTGGTCTGTTGTCGCCATTGAAGAATGGAGCTTGGGTGATATGAAAGGGGTCCTAAGAAGTCAGGCTCTGGGCCCAGTCCAATGCCTGCAAGTCACTCATTCCTTTAATCTGGGCCTTGGCTTCCTCATCTGTAAGATGGGCGTGACAGTCCCCACCAGCCCCTCCTCCCTTGGGCAGCCGCTGCATTTATAACTGCAAACAGCAAAAGCTGGAGGAGAGCGGTACTCCCCAGTGCTTCCCATCCCCTCTCCTTACCAACCCACCCAGGCAATGACTACATCGTCCCTCGGCACTGCCCGGAGCTGGCGGAGATGAGTCGGGTGTCCGTGCGTATCCTCGATGAGTTGGTGCTGCCCTTTCAAGAGCTTCAGATTGATGACAACGAGTACGCCTGCCTCAAAGCCATCATCTTCTTTGACCCAGGTACAGCCCACTCCTCCCACCCTCCCCTGATGCCCCAGACCCTCTGTCCAACTGCTCCCACTGGGTTACGAACCCCGAGTTTGCCAACTCATCTCTAGTACAACAATCAGGAGAAGACATCTTTATCAGCTCCATTTAACAGATGTGGAAAATCGAGGCTCAAATGACTGATGTGACAGTGGGGCATACTGACTCCAGAGGCTTGGTTTTTTTCTTTCCCATCTTACCTTTCTTTCCCTTCCTCTCTGCTTTCTGTTCCTTACCTCCTACCATCCTCTTTTTCTTTCCCTCAAAAAAAATTTTTATCAAAATAATATCTGCACATACTTAAAATGAAAATAGTCCTCTCCCCACTCTACTTTTCCTGTCCAAAGCCTACTCCCCAGAAGGAACGGTTTCTGATTCTTTATACTGTTTCTTTTTATTGCCACCTCTCCAGCTCTAAATAAAATGCTAACCTTTCTACTTCTTGATTTATCCATTTTAAAACATATTTTTTCCTCCTATGATAGTTGAGAATTGTATTTTTCCCCATCACCACTCCATCTTTTCTCTCGCATCATCCTAATACATTTTTCTTGCTATTTCAGTGTCTTTACTGATTGCCTCTATAATGTTCTGCACTTATGCTTTTATTTCTTGTTCCACCAACTGTCAGCAGTATCTCCTAACCCTTCATTAGCAGGATAAAGATAATGTATTTGCATTCTCCCTCTTCCATCTACCGACCTTCCACCCATTTTCACACTTTTTTTTTTAAGATTTTTTTCAATGTGGACCATTTATAAAGTCTTTATGGAATTTATTACAGTATTGCTTCCGTTCTATGTTTTGGTATTTGGCTGCGAGGCGTGTGGGATCTTACTCCCAGACCAGGGACCAAACCCACACCCCCTGCCTTGAAGGAGGAAGTCCCCACCACTGGGCCCGCATACAACATTTTTGTCATTGTGATTTTGTGAAAAACCTGTTTTCATTTCATGATGTCAAGATGGACACCCAGGCTCCAAAGCTTCCTTGCTTTCTTCTGTCCTTCCATGTTAGAGAGGTCCTACCTTGTGCCAGGCACCGTCCTTAGTGCCAAGCCCTCTCTGAATGGAGATTGAGTCTAGTAAGCATAGTGAGGAAGCGGAAATGAGCACTGTGTCTGGAGCACTCACTGAGGCTCTTGTTGATTTCACTCGTTACTTGCAACATGGTATCTGTGAGGTAGGAATTGCTTTATCTCCATTTTACAGATAAGAAAATTGAGTCACAGGGAGACTGATAGACTTGCCCCAGGTCACAGAACTAGGAAATGGCAGAGCTTGGATTTGAACTTCGGACTCCTCAGCTCTCGAGCCCATGTTCCTACCTGTCACACGCTATTCCTGGTTTCTGGAGGGGGTAAGATTGCTAGCTGCAGTTTCCTCCAGAGCCTGGCCCAGGCTGTGTACCCTCTGGTGTTTGGCATGGGGCTGGATGACAGTAACTGCTCAGTAAAATGTGCAGGATCACTGATGCTGAGTCAGGGTCAGCAGCCTGGCCTGGAGGGGCTGGTGACCTACGTCAGGGCCGGGCATGTGGGTGGTGCTCAATAAATGTTTACTGACTGAATGATAGAATGCACAAATGTGGCTCAGGAGAGAGAGAGCCCTGTGTTGGAAATGTGGGTGAAATTCTCTTTCTGCTGCTTACTTTATCCATAAAAGAGACAATAGATGTCTTCCATGAAGGTTGAGATTAACTATTGAATAACCACTTCAATTACTTTCCCGGTTAAGAATCTAAAATTTATCCATCGCTTTTTTTTTTTTTACTCATTCACCCTTCCATCCATGTACCCATCCCTTCATCTAGTTATCTGTTCAACAAATATTGACAATGCATGGTGCTAGGTGGTAGGTTTAAAAGATGCATGTATGCTGTACAGAGATCACAGTCTAGTGGAAGAGACATTCCATCCTGTGTGCTCAGTAGTGACGAAAGAGCCACAGAAGTCTGGGGACCCCATGAACACCCAGAGTGCAGACCTGGTAGGATGGAATGGAGAAGGCATCCTGGAGGAAGTGTGATCTAAGCTGAGACCCTAAGACCACACAGGCAAGGGAGCAGGCCAGCGGGGAGACTGATGAGGCAGCAGAAGCAGCAGTGCTGAGGCCTGGATGGTGGGGCTTTTTTTTTTTTTTTTTCCCTTTTTGGCTGAATCGTGAGACATGTGGAATCTTAATTCCCCGACCAGGGATCGAACCACCATCCCTTGCATTGGAAGGTGGAGTCTTAACCACTGGACTGCCAGTGGGACCTTAACTGGGAATCAGGAGCCCTAATTCCACATCATGGATCTGCCAACAAGTGGTTTTGTGGTCTGGGCCAAGTCCTTTCCTTTTTGTGTGCCTTGGTTTCCCCATCTGTAAGATGAGAAGGTTACAAGGTGCCCTCTTGGGAGTGTTCCTGAAGTCTGACCCCAGCACTGCTAGGATTCCCTAGGTGCCCTCGAGTCTAGGTCTCCCATCAGAGCCCCCGGAGCAAGGGGACATTGGGTCCTACCTCCCCAGACGCTCCAGGTTGGCCCTCTGCCTCCCTGGCATGATCCCTCCCATTGCAGATGCCAAGGGGCTGAGTGACCCAGGCAAGATCAAGAGGCTGCGTTCCCAGGTGCAGGTGAGCCTGGAAGACTACATCAACGACCGCCAGTACGACTCGCGCGGCCGCTTCGGCGAGCTGCTGCTGCTGCTGCCCACCCTGCAGAGCATCACCTGGCAGATGATCGAGCAGATCCAGTTCATCAAGCTCTTCGGCATGGCCAAGATCGACAACCTGCTGCAGGAGATGCTGCTGGGAGGTTAGTGTCCAGCCTGGGAGGGGCTGAGAGGTAGGCAGGGCTGGAGGCCGCTTCTCCAAGAGACCAGCCTCACTCATGCAGAGCTGCGTTCACCTCTCAGCTCCACTTCCTCACTCTGTGAAAAAGTGAAAGGGTTAGTTGCTCGATCATGTCCAACTTTTTGCCACCCCATCTACTCTGCCCATGGGATTCTCCAGGCAAGAATACTGGAGTGGGCTGCCATTGCCTTCTCCAGGTGATCTTCCCAACCCAGGGATTGAACCCGGGTCTCCTGTACTGCAGGTGGATTATTTACCATCTGAGCCAGTGGGCGGGGCTGGGGGAGGTAGCCTCTCTAAGAGACAAGCCTCATGCAGACCTAAGCTCACCACTCAGCTCACTCCATCACTTCCTTGCTCTGTAGCTGTGGGCAAATCCTTTTATCTACTGGAGTCTCAGTTTACTCATCAGGAAAATGGGGACAATGGCCTGTTAATTCAGGTGCCGAGAAGTTACCATGTTCCAGTCACCGTTCTAAGTGCTGGAGGTTCAGCAGAGGACGAGTCAGTTCTCCCGGAGGTTGTGTATGAGTGTATATATAAGTGTGTGTGTGTGTGTGTGTGTGTGTGCGCGTGCATGCCAGTGTATATTAACACTCAGGGAATAGATGGTAATTGAGTATATAATAAAGAGGGCAACTACAAATTTTGAAATAACCAAGTAATACAATAGAGCATAACTGAAAAGAGGCCTCTTTAGATAGGTTGGTCAAGGAAGACCACTCTAAAGCTGTGGCTTTTATGCCACAGATCTGACGGAAGGAAAGAGAACATTTAAAAGTCAAAGGAGAAACACTCCAAGCACCAGTAACTAGTGCAAAAGGCCCTGAAGCAGAAGTTTGTGTGTTCGAGAAAGATTAGATTGTGAGACGAGAGGAACTGTATGAAATGAAGATAAGAGGTTGGGCAGAAACCAAACCAAAAGTATAGTCTCAGAGGCTATGGTTAGAGATTGCATTGTATTCTCACTGCAACTCTTAAAAGAAAAGTGGAAAATCAGACTAATGTTTTTAACGAACTATCCCAATTGTTGGGTAGAAAGTGAACATCAGAGGGCAAAATGGAGACAGGAAACCCCTGAGAAATGTCACCGTCTTCAATCAGGGAGGCTTGGACCAGGCATGACTGGAAATTGACCAACACAGATGCCCTTGAACATCTGTTTGGAGGAAGAACTCACAGAATTTTCTGATTGATCAGACAGGGGCAATGAGGGGAAGGGAAAGAGTCAGGGATGGAACCTACATGTTTGCTTTGAGGAACAGGAATGGTGGTGGACTAATTTACTGAGATGGGGAAGATTTGGCGGGGGGGGGTACAATTTGAGGCTGAGGGTGGGGGTTGGGGTGAAGATCCATTGTAGAATTTAGTGAAGCTTGAAATGATGTTAGTCATGTTGAGTTATCCAGGAGGCGGATAGATATTTGAGTCTGTTGCTCAAACAAGCCCAGAGTTGGGGATGAGAGGCAGCTTAGTGGTGTCCCAGAAACCAGGTGCCAGAGAAGGAGATGGAGGAAGATCTAGTCAGGAGGATAAGAGAAAAGCCAAGGGAAGTCCCAGAAGCCAAGAGCAGAGTGTGTTTTAGTGTGGACAGAGCATTTAATGGTGTTAAATTTCACAGGAGGGGGAAGGAGGCTCTTGGCGATTATGTTGAGAGCAGTGTCAGTGGGAAAGGAAACCAGGGGAGGGTGTTGGAGAGTGAGTGAGTTGGAAAGTGGAGAAGTCGAGACAGCAAGAGTCGGCTGGCTTTGGAAAATGTTTTGCTCAGCAGGGAGCTGGGAGAGAGCTAAGGCTGATCGCAGGGGAGTGATTGTGATGATATGCCATGGAATCTTGGCTGGACTAAGAGGGATGAATACAGGTGACAGACAGTAAAAAGTGGGGCCAGTGAAATGACAGCCACAACGGGGCTGAAGAATTTTTGCAGTGATGGTGCTAAAGGAAGTGAGCCAGAACGATAGGAGGCGGGGTCTAAATAAAGATGCTTGAACGTGAGACTTTGGAGGTGACGTGATGTGATCACTGGTGATGGCCAAGGGCAAGGTTTCTCAACCTCAGTGGATTCTTGGGTCTGGATCATTCTTTGCTGAGGGGGCTCTTCTGTATCTTCTTTGGCCTCATGACTGGCCTCTACCCGTGATACACCAGTAACGCTCCTTCAGTGGTGACAGATACTCAGATGTTGTCAAAGGTCCCCTGAGGGGCCCAAATCACCCCTGGCTGAGAACCACTGTCACATGATAACTCACTTCTTTCTCACTTTGACCCTGTGGATGTAGGGTCACCGTGAATCAGGTGTCACTGAAGCTAGGATCAGGAAGGAGCCAGATAAACTTTGGGTAAAATAATCCATCTCTTTGGGCCTTGTCATCTCATCTGTAGAATGAGGTTAATAATGATTCCCAGCCTTTAAGGCTGTTGTGAAGGTTAAGTTATGTCAAACCTGGAAAACGCTGTAAAACAGTACCTGGCACGTAGTATGTTGATAGCAATCATTGAAACAGGAATAGTTTTAAATTTTTTTCTCTATTTATCTATTTGGCTGCATTAGTTGCAGTATGCAGTATGCAGCATACATATTTAGTTGCAGTATTTCCATTATCCATGGAAATGCAGGATTTCCGTTGCATCTTGTGGGATCTTTTGTTCTGGCACTTGGGCTCTCTAGCTGTGATGCATGGACTTATTTGCACTTTCCAGGTGGCTCAGTGGTAAAGAATCTGCCTGCCAGTGCAGGAGCCTCAGGAGATGCAGGTTTGATCCCTGAGTCGGGAAGGTCCCTGGAGAAGGAAATGGCAACCCACTCCAGTATTCTTGCCTGGAGAATCCCATGGACAGAGCAACCTGCGGAGCTTGGCGGGCTACAGTCCGTGGCGTGGCAAAGAGTCGGACGTGAATGGGCACAACAACAACACAAAGTGGGATCTTAGTTCCCTGACCGGAGATTGGACCCAAGTCCACTGCATTGCAAGGCAGATTCTTAGCCACTAGACCACCAGGAAAGTCCCTGAAACAGGGTATTTTAAAGACCCCTTTCAAGCCCTAAAATTCAGTCGTTATTGTATTAGTGCCATAGTCTATTACTAGACCATATGCTATGTATATGGTACTGTCATTCTCTTGACACATTTTTTTGAGGCAGTTGCTGTGTTCCAGACACTTTGTTAGGATCTCAAAGAGAGAAGATACACCTGTAATTGTGATGTTCACAGACAGAAGTGATTGTTCCCCAAAGACAGGTTACAGATAAGTGACGATGTGAATTCCAAGGAAGGAGAGGTTACTTTCTACTGAAGTAGGGAGAATCAGGAGAGGCTTCCCAAAGGATGGAACGTATGAGTTGGAATTTGGACTTGGGGATATTGGTGGGGGTGGAGGAGTGGGGTAGAAGGCATCTTCAGCAATACAGGAGCAAAACACAGAGCTAGGTCAATCCAGGGGATGTGGAGATGCTATAAATAGGCAAGTTGGGCTTCAGATGTGGGGGATGAGGCTGAAAGGTGAGTTGGGGCCAAAAGGTTAAGGATTCGCATACCAAGGAGCTTTGAGAGACATTGATTGAATCCATTATATTAACATGCAATCAATACACTGCTTGTTGCAATATCTAAATGATCTCACAGCTTCCTTATATACCCCTTGTTCCTTTCAAATCACTTTTGTCCTCTTGGTTTGTGAGTCCTCTCAATACCTTCATGAAGCCTGTGAATAGGAATGAAAACCTCAGTTTGTATGTGGGCATGTTCCATCATGTCCAACTCTTTGCGACCCCATAGACTGTAGCCTGCCAAGCTCCTCTGTCCATGGAATTTCCCAAGCAAGAATACTGGAGTGGGTTGCCATGTCCTACTCCAGGGGATCTTCCCAACCCAGGGATCAAACCTGCATCTCTTGTGTCTCCTGCATTGACAGGCAGATTCTTTACCACTTCGCCACCTGGGAAAGCCCCAGTTTACTAACCCACAAATAGGAGCCCAGTAGGCACTGAAGATTGGATGTGCTGGTTGATGGCCACACTCGCGGACGATGGTGCCTCAAGATGGTGCCATGGTTTTTATCCCAGACTCTCCATCCTCACTGGGCACCTTTTACCTGCAGGGTCCTCCAGTGAAGCACCTCATGCCCACCACCCCCTGCACCCTCACCTGATGCAGGAACACATGGGCACCAACGTCATTGTTGCCAACACGATGCCTGCTCACCTCAGCAACGGACAGATGTGTGAGTGGCCCCGGCCCAGGGGGCAGGCAGGTGGGCAACTTGGGCTCTCCCCTGGAAGGGGCGAGGTTGGGGCCTGAGAGGGAATCTAGAGAAGGTTGGGTCTAAAAGATGGGAAATGGGCTAAAACAGTTCTCTGTGCTCCAGGGTAGGGAATGAGGGGTAAGACGGTCCATTTGTTAAGGCTGCTTATTCAGTGAGGTGATTGACAGCGTCGCCTGAATGAAGCTGTCCTTAGATGAGGCAGTCCACTGGGTAGATTGGTTGAGGATGTCCATTGCAGTGAGGTTTCCATTAGATGATGTTGTCCACTAGGTAAAATTGTTCACTGAAGTTAGACTTACCAGTCGGGTAAGACTGTCCATTAGACAACTGGGTGAGACTCTTCACGGGGTGAAGGCTTCCCCTGGGCTAGACTGTCCTCTGAGGTGAAATCTCACAAGAGTGAATTTGTCATTGGGCAAGGTCCTTCAAAGAAGAAGATTATCATTGGGATGAGAGGGTCCGCTAAGATGAGATCGCATTTCATTGAGATTGTTCTTTGGGGAAGTTGGCCTTTGAATAAAGTTGGCCAAGAGGATCATAGTCAAAATTACGTTCTGAACTTGTCATGGGGGTGGGGACTTCACTTTCTGCTACTCATCTACCTAACTATCAAGGGAGAGTATTTCTTGAGCCAGTTAGCCAGCCCCTTGGGTCTCATCTACTGCTGTTGCTTTTGTCCAAGAAAGCTTGATCCTGTCACATGTCCCAAAGTCCTTAGGGAGACTCAGACCTGGACCCCAGTTTGGGAGAAGCATCCAAAGTCTCCATATCAAAGGTTGGAGGAGATGGGGGTTGTAGGGACGTGGGCAAAGGTTCTAACCACAGAACCTGGCCCAGCTATAGCCTTCCAGACCTGATGGAACTTAGACTTGGTGATCTGGGGCTCAGAAGGTTTGAGCTGTAGGAGTCCTTAGAGGTAATCTAGTCTAATTCTCTCATTTTGTAGAAGAGGAAATTAAGTGTCAGAGAGTGGGGAGGACTTGCCCAGGACTTTTCACTGAACCCCCAAAGGGCTGGAGTTCTGAGCAGCCCTGTCTGTCTCTTTGCCCCTCCAGCCACCCCTGAGACTCCGCAGCCTTCGCCCCCCGGTGGTTCAGGGTCCGAGCCCTACAAGCTTCTGCCTGGAGCCATCGCCACCATCGTCAAGCCCCCCTCTGCCATCCCGCAGCCGACCATCACCAAGCAGGAAGTCATCTAGCAAGTCACTGGGGGGCGGGGGCTCTGTTGTCTCCCCAGGCCCCTCCGAGAGCCCCTGATGGTCACTTGGTCACAGTGAGGCAAGCTGTGACCACAGGCCAGTCCCAGAGCAGTGATGGGAAGGGCGCAGGCCCTTGAACTCAGGCTGTGGGTTGCATCTCACTGCCCCCCTTCACCACTTGCTCTGGATAACGGGGCTGTGACTTGGGAAGACCCCAGCTGGAAAATCCTCTGCTGCTTGGACAGCTTTCCTCCTGCTGAAACCATTGCCTTCCCCTCGTCCTTTGCCCCACTTCTTCACCCCCAAAGGGCTGCCGCCTGGAGACCACACAAGCCCTCGCTGAAGCACGGCTCCCTCCCCGCTCAGACTGGTGTAATGTTGGACACAGAGCCCTTCTGGGCCAGGTCACGTGGCGGCACCTCTCCCATCCCTCTTCTGCTGCCACAGCCTCCGCTGTCCCCCTGAGTCATCCTCGTTTCCCCAAAGCCACCTCTCCAGAGGCCGAGGAAGACGTGCAAACAACACCCCAGTCATCCTGGGAGCGTTTAAAAAGCACTGACGAGCTCGGTGCAGTGTGGGAGCCTCTCGAGCAGGTGGACACTGTTTCTCCTCTAACCCCTGGCTCTTCCCTTCTTCTGGGACTTGGGAGGGTCCTTTGGGTCAGAGTGGTGGTCCCTACAGGCTGCTGACCATGAAAGAACAATCCAGGGTGGACACTGCAGCCAGGACCTAGGGGGGAGGCTAGGAGGGGGTCAGAGAAGGCAGGAAGGGGCGGACTATCCAGCAGGCCTTTAAGGAAGGGCTGGATTCCAGCTGGTGAAACAAGTGAGCCAGAACAGTCTAAGGAAGACCAGGCAGGGAAGTGAGAAGGAGGCCGTGGAAGGAGGCGATGAAAGATGGGGCTGTCTGGAGGAGAGGGGGTGTGCTGGACAGCCTGGGGATCTTGAATGCCAGATGGAGGCATGGCGACTTGGGTCCCCAGTCTGAGTGACTGGAGAGGCATGTGCAGGGAGCCAAGCTTTCAGAAACTGGAAGATCACAGTCCTCCAGAGGTCAGAAGTTTGGGAGAGAGCTGGGAGATCAGATGGGGCCTGACAGTGTCATCCAGGTGAGGGAGATGAAGCTGGGGATGGAGAAGACAGGTGGGAGAACCTCAGGTGAGAGCGGCATCGAGGAGGAATTATCCCACCGAGCCTGTCTCGAGCGCTTCCTCCCAGCACTTGACCTGCACCATCTCCTTTCATCCTCCTTATTACCCAGAGAGCGTTACTGAAGAGGGAATTGAAATCTCAGTGGTTAAATCACTTTTCTGGAACTCACACAGCTAGGAAGTGACCCAGACTTGATCCCAGGTCTGCCAGGATCTGGCGCTCTTAGCCTCAGCGGTTGAACATCTTCTCTGGACAGGCCCCCTCTGTCCTCACTGGGGTTGAGGTGAGGGCCTTCCTGCCCGCTTCAGCAGCCTTGGGAGCCTCATTCTCCCCAGGAGCCCTGCCCACTCCCAGGACTAAGATTGGCCTGAGGCTGCACTAAAGTCCACTTTGGGCCCAGAGTCCTGTTCGCTGATAAACATGGAGAAGCTGTGGTTCCTAACCTCTTTTCTACCTCTTCAGTCCCCAGGTGTGGGGAAGAGGCATTCAGCAGTCCATCGCGAGAGGGACCAGTGGGACCTGGTGTGCCGGAAGTGGGATGGTGTGAGTGGGGGCGGGGGAGAGGGAAGAGGAACTGGGTTTGAGACCTGCTCTGTGAGCATCACTCAGGGTACCTTCTGAAACCATTAAACCCCAGAATCAAGCAGCCAGTACTCATCCATGCAGAACTTTAGAGGCTTTGTGAAAATTCTGGAAGGTGCCACTGGCCAGTGTGAGTTAAAGGGATGTGTCCTGGGACTAGAACTTAGGGAGGAGAGTAAACAGACTGACTACCCACCCCCCACGAAGACTTCTGAGTAGATGCAGGTAGCATCCCGGTGCCCCCCAAATCCCACCATTAGGGACTGCTTTTTGTGAGAGAGGCAGGAAGGGTATTGGGACGGGATGTCCGAGAACAATCACCACATCTCCAGTGCTGTCAGAGTTGGGGTTCCCCCTTCCACCAAGCCAAGTCTTCAGTCCCAGGAGAGGCTGTTCCCTGCTCAGAGCAGCCCAGCCTCACTTAGCCACCCCTCATTCCTGAGGCATCCCCCCAGAAACCCCAGCCAGGGTGCTCAGATGGGTCTGGGGCAAGGTAGGGAAGCTGGGGTCATTTCTGGTCATTGTCATTCCCCCTCTTTGCTACCCTGATCCCCTCGCCCTGCCTCACTGTTGCCCAGACTTCTGCCATGGGAACAAAGCTGAGATAAGAAGTTCCCGTAGGGTGGGGTGGGATAGCTGTGACTTTTAACGGTAGCCAATCTTCTGGGCCAGGGGCCAATCCTTGGCCCCAAATCAACCTCCCTGGAAGAGAAATCCATGCCACTTTAATAATTTTATTGCCATGCAGGAAAAACAAAACAAAGAGAATGTACTTTTCTGACTCTAAACTGAGGCCACCACGTTGGAAAAATTTTTATTTTCACTACCTGAGTCGTGATCTTAAAACATACAATCCTATAGACTCAAAGAGGGTTGGAGGGCAAGCACAGACCCTGTAATTCCTCCACTGAGACAACCTCTTCTCTGGGTGGCTCTCAGTAGCTTCCAGAACCCACACGGCTCTCCTGAGGGTGGACAAAGGGGAACAGGGCCTTGGAAATGGACGCTCCTCGATTTCTTGTGATGACCAAGCCAATTACCTTTGCCAAATCGCTCTGTGATTTGCCTTGATTGTGATGAAGTTAGAAATTCACACTGAGCAGTTCTGAAAGTGGTGGGCTGGCGTCCCGCCAGACTGATCAGCATCTTCCCATGGTGGATGTCATCGGGTCCTGTGCTGTCCCCAGAGCCCCTGTCACTGCCACCCAACGGGGCAAAGAAGCAAAAAAGATTTCTTACTCTTGTCATTTTAACAAAAGTTTATAAAAAGAAATAAATGGCGCCTATGTTTTCTAAGTCCTTTGGATGAGTGTCCTTTCTTCCTTTCAGGTGTTAGAGATAAGAATGAGAATATTCGGATAGCTCTTTCTATATGCAGAATGCTTTCATATCTGTTATGGTTTTTTCATCTTCTCAAGGTAAGCAAGGTAGACATGATTACCTCTTGCTTTATCAGTGAGGTAAATAAAGCTCAGGGGAAGCAATTTTCCTTGAGAGGTGGGAGTTGAAATCTAGTGTCTTAATTCCAACTGCTCAGTATGTAGAGAGAGTAGGGGAGGGATAAGAGAGGAGATGATGGCAAGAAGAATGGCAAGAAGTGTCCAGGGTCTGTCACTGACCATCAGGGTCTAAGATGGAGCCCTGTTCTGGGTCACTTCCAGGGACCTGGGTCAACCCGCCAGCAATAAGGAACAAGTAGGCATAGGAAATCTTATAAAAGTAAGCATTGTTTTCAAAAAAGAATAAAAGTATTTAAAACAGATAATCAATAAGGTCCTACCATATAGTACAGGGAACTCAACTCGATATTCTGTAATAGCCTAAATGGGAAATTCAGTTCAGTTCAGTCGCTCAGTTGTGTCCAACTCTTTGTGACCCCATGGACTGTAGCACACCAGGCCTCTCTGTCCAACTCCCAGAGTTTACTCAAACTCACTTCCATTGAGTTGGTGATGCCATCCAACCATCTCACCCTCTGTCGTCCCCTTCTTCTGACTTCAACCTTTCTCAGCATCAGGGTCTTTTCCAATGAGTCAGTTCTTCACATCAGGTGGCCAAAATATTGCAGTTTCAGCTTCAACATCAGTCCTTCCAATGAATATTCAGGACTGATTTCCTTTAGGATGGACTGGTTGGATCTCCTTGCAGTCCAAGGGACTCTCAAGAGTCTTCTCCAACACCACAGTTCAAAAGCATCAATTCTTCAGTGCTCAGCTTTCTTTATAGTCCAACTCTCACATGCATACATGACTACTGGGAAAACAATAGCTAGACAGACCTTTGTTGGCAAAATAATGTCTCTGCTTTTTAATATGCTGTCTAGGTTGGTCATAATTTTTCTTCCAAGGAGTAAGCATATTTTAATTTCATGACTGCATTCACCATCTGCAGTGATTTTGGAGTCCCCAAAAATAAAGTCTGCCACTGTTTCCACTGTTTCCCCATCTATTTGCCATGAAGTGATGGGACCGGATTGCCATGATAGTTTCCTGAATGTTGAGCTTTAAGACAACTTTTTCACTCTCCTCTTTCACTTTCATCAAGAGGCTCTTTAGTTCTTTACTTTCTGTCATAAGGGTGGTGTAATCTGCATATCTGAGGTTATTGATATTTCCCCCGGCAATCTTGATTCCAGCTTGTGCTTCATCCAGTCCAGCATTTCGCATGATGTACTCTGCATATAAGTTAAATAAGCAGGGTGACAATATACAGCCTTGACGTACTCCTTTTCCTATTTGGAACCAGTCTCTTGTTCCATGTCCAGTTCTAACTGTTGCTTCCTGACCTGCATACAGATTTCTCAAGAGCCAGTTCAGGTGGTCTGGTATTCTCATCTCTTTCAGAGTTTTCCACAGTTTGTGGTGATCCACACAGTCAAAGGCTTTGGCATAGTCAATAAAGCAGAAATAGATGTTTTTCTGGAACTGTCTTGCTTTTTCAATGATCCATTTGTGCAGCAGTTCGAGCATTCTTTGGCATTGCCTTTCTTTGGGACTTAAATGGGAAAAGAACTTCAAAAAGAATAGGTATGTGTTTAACTCAATCACTTTGGTGTACACCTGAGACTAAGACAACATTGTAAATCAACTGTACTCCAATATAAAATTAAAAAAAAAAACATTTAAAAAGAGAATAAAAGCAGAGATGCACTTGAGAATTCCCAGCCAGCTCTGCACCCACCTTGTTCCCCAGATAACCCAGAAGGCTGGGCTTGTGCCTTGGCCACCACAACCTTGCTTTTGCCCAGGGGTGTGCTGAAGCTGGCCTGGGAGATTTGATTTTTAGCTGCTCTTTCCAGTTCTGTGTTGGACAATGCTACACAGATGGATAGCAATGGTGGGAGCATTTACACCACAAGAAAAGGCAAACACTGCAATTCAAGGTGTTTCCTGGCCAGCCAGTTGCTCACCATTCACCAGCACAACACGGCATTCGGTGATGAGGGGATGGAGACTTGCTGACGGCTGGGCGGTGGATGCCTAGGTGTGGTCAAGGGTGATGGTAGAGCAGGGTGACCCTTTCTGTTTCACAAAGGGAAGGGACAAAAGCTCTGACCTGGGAGTCACGTATCTCGGTGATTGACTTTCAGGTCACTCCTCTCTGAGCCTCATCTGTAAAATGAAAATGATCCCTCCCTCCAGGGGCGTCGTCAGGACTGAACTGAATGAGATCCAACAGCTATGGCAGCTGCCGTGTATATAAGGTGTACGGAGTGCCGCTCGAGGTGGGGTGGGGGGCTTTGTGAGTGTGGACTCTGCACTCAGCTCCTGTCCAGTGAGAAGCTAACCACTGAGTTCTCCAGCCTCAAAAACACGCTTTCCCTGCAGCCTGATCCCCAGGGCCACTCCTACCGTCCCCTGGGCCTTTCCTCCACTCACGAGCACCAGGAAGTAATCTCTCTAATGTTGCATCAGAAACCTCGTCCATGCCGCTGCCAGCATGGACGCGGGGGTGGGGGACAGAGCAGGCTATTGCAGTCCTAGAGAGTGCTTAATAAATTCATATCAAAACCATAAACGCTGGGCCGCCATAAATTCCTCTGGCCTTGGCTCCTCCAACCTCATCAGCCCTTTGCCCCCGTTAATCTCAAATCTCAGCCTAGGCAGCCCGAGCCGCAAGCTTGGTTTCCATTTTCATTGCAAAACAACATCAGCTCGGGTGGCAAACAGCACAGCCCATGATCACCATTTCAGACATGATGAAACTGAAGTTCAGAGAGGTGAAGGAAATTGTCCCAGGCACAAAGCCAGGGAGCAGTTGAGCCAAGACTCAAAGTCAGCCTTCTTTAACCAACCCACGTGGCCTCCCAAGAATTGGGAATTCACCTTCCCCCTACAGAGGCTCCTTCCCCAGCCATGACACTGGGTGCTTTGATCTGTTTATCCCAGATGGAACCCCTCAATAAATGGGAAGAAGTGGGAGGGACTCTGTGTGATGGGCTGTGTGACCATCCAAAGGAATGTCCACGCAATCACCCCAAACGGTGGGACCACCCTACTTCCTCTTCTGTGGAACCCAAATCACCTTTGTCCTACATTTCTCGGATCACTGTGTGATCTGTAAATTCCAAGGCAAGACCTAAGAGACCTGTCTTACAGGATCCTCTGCCACTGTCTAATGATGGAGAAGCTACAACCTCATCCTATTTCAAGTCCCACATTTATTGACCACTTCCTCTCTGCTAAACATCGTCGGGCATACTTTCACCCCCACGACAACACCCTGAGTCAGGTGTTCCTATTGTTCTATTTTACAAATGAGGATGGGATTTGTCCACGGTTCAGAGCTGGCCCAACAGCCAAGATTCAAACGCCCATTGTCTGACCCCAGGGGCCACCACAATGGGACCTGGGAGAAAGCCGATGAGTCAGTCACTGTATGTTGAGCACAGAAGCAGTGCGAATGGATAAAAGTTCATCATTTGACAAATAACTGAGGGGCAGAGCCTTGTGCCAAAGCATCCTGGGGTTTATGGAGGGACAGAATCATGAGGTGCCTTCCTGTTAGTTTACAATTTTCTCTTATAGAAGGGAAAATTACAAGCAGGGACTTCCTGGGTGGTCCAGTGCTTAAGAATCCACCTGCCGACACAGGGGACACGGGTCCCACCCCTGATCTGGGAAGACCCCACGTGCGACAGAGCGCATTTAGCACACACCACAGCTACCGAGCCCGTGCGCCTGAGGCCTGAGCAGCACAGAGAAGAGCAGCGCCCGCTCACTGCAACTAGGGAAAGCGCGGGCACAGCAAAGAAGACCCCGAGCAGCCAAAAATCAGTCAACAATATTTTTTAAAAAATTACAAGCAGTTGAATATTAAGAGCCAAAAGAGAGTGACAGTAGGGGAGACAGTCCTTTGAATGGGGGGATGACGGCAGTCTGGGAAAGTCTCATTTGCTGCAGGATTTGGAGGCAGGGGTGAGACAGAGAAAAGACGGATGTGTGTTCACGGAGAAGGAGAAAGATGGAGCAGCGAGTCATGGCAGGCAGCCCGTGGATGGGAGGGAGGATGGAGACCAGTGTTTCCCAACCTGCAGTCACTGTACTCGTCACATCCCCTCCACACCCGAGTACCACTGCACCTTACTTAATTACCATTTTTCTTTATTTTTTTTAAATAAGGTAGTCTGATTTTATTTAATTAATGATTTTTTTGGCCATATCACGAAGCCTGGAGGATCCTACTTCCCCGACCAGGGATTGAACCCCAGCCCTTGGCAGTGAAAGCTCAGAGTCCTAACCACTGGACTGTCAAGGAATTCCCACTGTTTTTCTTTCAATCAACTCATAAGCATTCTCTTAACATTGATCACTGATACAAATGGAAAGCTAGTATCACTTTGCTGTGTAGATAGAAGATGATTGCAAAATTAGAGCAAAAAGTAAGTGATTTATTTTTAAGGTGGAGCCAGAGAAGATCACCCAGGGAAAGCTCTGTACTTTCCTCTTCAAATGGGAAATTGACAAATATCTAGAGAGATGTGCTATCCAAACTTCCTCTGTAAAGCGTCTGGAAGGAAGGAAGACTTGTAAAGAGACAGGCTATGGTGGTGATGGCATTGAATGCCATCTCTGGGTAACCCTAAAGTCCCTCAGCACGCCCACTGAAGTCTTCAACCCACACCTGGAAGCACGCCATGGTGGATGGTCTGGGCCAGGGCGTGGGGGCCTCAAACACTGGGCAACTGGAATTTCTTTGGGGGAAATAGAAAAGTCACCGGAGAGAGGATACTGAGGGAAGGTTGTGGCCAGGTCTGTGTTTTTAAAGGCTCACTCTGGTAGCTTTGTTGAGGATGGATTGGATGGGGTGCAGCTGTACGCAGGAAGACCAGTGAAGATACTCGTGTGCTGGACCAGATGAGAGATGGTGAAGCTGGTACCATATGGAGGCAATAGAGATGTAGAGGAGGGGCCCAATCCAGAAGATGTGTTCATTCATTCACTCACTCAACAAATATGTAATAGGTGCCCATTGCGTGCCGGAGCACTGTAGGAACCAAGGTACACAGGGGGTGGGCAGGAGAGATAAAGTCCCTGACTTCATGAGGCTTACCTCCTAGAGGGAGCAGGCTGACAATGCTTGAGTGAATACATTAAAAAAGGTAATTTGAGGGACTTCCCTGGTGGTCCAGTGGCTAAGACTCTGTGCTTCCAATGCAAGGGGCCCAGGTTCAACCACTGGTCAGGGAACTAGATCCCACATACCGCAACTTAGAGTTCACATGCTGCAACTAAGACCCAGAACAGCCAAACACATAAATAATTTTGTAAATAGAAAAATGCAATTATTCTTTTAAAAAGATAATTTGAAACAGTCAAGAGCTGTCAGACAGTCCAACAGTCAAGTTCTTTGAAAGTAAAACAAGGTATTGTGAGTGAGTGAATAGGAAGTAACAAAAAGGGTTCAATTAAAAGTGCTGAGGATGCAATGATACCACATCAGGGGGTCAGGGAGAGCCTCCCCAAGAGGCGAATCTGGGCTGAGATCTGGAGGCTGAGGAGGGACTGGGGTAAAGGAACGCCAGGGAGCCGCAAGTGTCAAAGCCCTGCAGCAGGAGCCGAGCATCTTAGAGGCCGAGCATCTTAGAGGCCGGGCATCTTAGAGGCCGGGCATCTTAGAGGCCGAGCATCTTAGAGGCCGCATCTTAGAGGCTGAGCATCTTAGAGGCTGAGCATCTTAGAGGCTGAGCCCAGTGGGCCGTGTGGCTGGAGCAGAGTGGGAGACGATGGAGTCTGAGAGGTGGGCAGGACCAGGTGGGACCATGAGAATGATCATAGATTGTATTCTGGCAGCCATGGGAAACTCTCAGACGTTTTCCAATAGGGAAGTGATGTGATCTGATTCACGTTCTTAAAAGGTCACTCTTCGCTGTGTAGTGCATGGACTCCAAGGAACAAGAATGGAAGCAGAAAAGCCCAGAGGTGACCTGTGCGGTGGTTCAGGGGAGAGACAATGACAGCTTGAATAGACTGGTGTGGTAGGCGGAATTCTAAGGTGGTCCCCCCCAAAATGCTTCCCCCTTCCCGGTCTCTGCGCACTTTCTCCATACTTCTCAATCAGACACGAATCTAGGAGCTTCTGTAAAGGGATTCTGCAGGCATAATGAAGGTCCGAAGCCAGTGACTTTGTGATGTAGAGATTATCCTTGTTGGGCCTTCCCTAATCAGGCGAACACTTGGGGTTAGGAGGTCCTGGGGAGCTCTTTCTGGCAAATAAAATTAGAAGCAGGAGAGGGATTTGCCATGAGGGCTAAAGCTCTCAGAACAGATGCTGTGGTTGCCAGGGGTTAGGGCTGTGTCGGGGGGTTTAAATACAAAGGAGTATAGGGGAGGGGCCTTGGGGTGATGGAAATGTTCTGTATCTTGACTGTGGTGGGGTCACGTCACTATATACAGTTGCCAAAACTTGCAGACCCATGCATGAAAAGGAGTCGGATTTAGAATATGGAAATTAATACCTTAGTTTTTTTTTAAATGAAAGAAAAAAAGCCAGAGTTGCTTGAACTCATTTAAAAGAGGATGTATAGGTTGCAGAGCGCTGTAGGGGTGACTGCAGTCTGGGTCCCTCCACCATCCTGGTCAGAAAGAGGAAAAGGAGGACTTCCCAAGTGGTCCAGTGGGTAATATTTAACCTTCCAATGCAGGGGATACGGGTTCAATCCCTAGTCAGGGAGCTAAGATTCTACCTGCTTTGCAGCTCCAAAACCAAAGCATAAAGCAAAAGTAGAATTGTAACAAATTCAATACTTATTTTAAAAAAAGAAAGAAAGAAGGAGGAAAAGGGCCCAAAACAGGTGATACAGATGTCAATGGAGAGGGATAGCAATTCGGGCAACATTGGTTGCGGGCCTACTGTGTGCTGAGGGTGCTGCCTCACTCCCTGTCTCATGTGGCTGGCTCAGTGGGCCGGGGGGCAGGTTCAGTGAACCGTACTTGATTTACAGATGAGAGTAAATGACTTGCCCTGGATCCACACAGACCAGCACAGCGGTGTGCCTTGCACTCTCTTCTCTGTTGAATGAATGAACACATGAATGAACGAATGAATGAATGTCACTGCGCTCCAGGTGCTGAGGCGTCACCAGCAAGTTCAAACTGAGGATATGAGAACACGGTTTTTTTAGAGAAGTTGGGGCCATAAAACCTGTTCCGTTTCCCCGACTTGTGCAACCCCGGCCCCTCCCCCTGTGACTCTGAAATTGCTCCCCGGCCTTGAGAAGGGCTCCCTGGGCTTATCTCAGGGGGAGAGTGAAACTGTAAAAGGCCTTTATGGCTTTGAGATCACGTCTGGCGGCAGCAGCGATTGTCGCCATAAACCTGAGCAGCCGTGCGAGGGCGATGCCCGGGGCAGGAGAGTCAGGGGACAGTTGAGAGCTGCCCAGGGATGGCTCCTGCAGAGCTGGTCCCATGCTTCCCACCCTTCAGCCTTGCAGAAACCCAGCAGGCAGCAGTGGCTGAGATTTTTGCTTTTAATTCTTCAATGCACCTTTTTTTTTTCACATGACATGTCTGAGGTTAGGGTATGTCTTTAAATCAATCATATCTGACAATCACTGATGGTCAAATCAGGTGGCGGTCATACCTGGTTGGTTCTGGTCATTATTTCCGGTGGCCTGGTCCACTGCCCCCTCTGTGTATTCCTCACAAGCCACTGATTTAAGGACCATTTGAATCCTGGTTGCTTCCTGAAAGCCTTCCATTGACAACTTCCATAAGAGCAAGAAAGCCCCAGGGTCAAACCTGCAGAATTGGAGTAAACAGGTTGGAAGAAAGTCCTGAAGACCATAGTGGAGCATTCTTTCAAGGAGTGGTGTGTGATCAAATTTTAACAGTAATAGAGGACAACACTGCATGAAAAAA